ACCACGGCTCTCAGGGGGCCGGGCTGGAGGGCGAAGCAGGCGGCGACGGAACAACTCCGGAGGACGGGCAGGAAGGCGCTAACGGGACAGCTCTGGAGGCCGGGCAGGAACCGGAGCCGGTGGGACAGGCTTCGGCAGGATCCCTTCCTCTCAGAAACATGGTACATGTCACCTCCTTTATTCCCATAACTATGCGTCTAAACATTCAATTAATTGTCAGAATAAAATTACGCGCCCAAATATATTTGTTCTCATCTTATAGTTTTCTTTAGGTCTTTAACTTGTAATATATTTTCTATTTTACATAACGGTAAACACCCTCTTATTCATACTAGGGAAAGTTGGTTGTTTTCAAGACGAGGGTGTCCGGACCATGTATTAGAGAAAGAAAAAAAAAAATTATGAGGACTTATAGTTGAAAATGGACATATTTTCTGTGGCAAGGTCATAGTTATTAGTCTAAGGTTGAGAGGATGGTACACCGTTCGATTTCTCGCAATTTCTGAGTCGCGGTTCTACATCTGGAGTGTTCCGACCCTAACCGATGTGTCTGGTAGTCTTTCGTCGACGCCTCTTCCTCTGGTGACAACCACGCTAATAGTCTTCTTCTTCCCATCAAGATTTCTTTTGTGTTTTACCGTAGTTAGCGGGAGACCAGACCCGAGGTCGTGTTCTAGAGCGGCACCCTCCCATAATACTATTACTCTTTCACTGCATAGTCGCGTTTTTGATGTCTCTCCTTGAACAATTTACTAGAGTTCCGTCCGACCATGTGTCAGTGGTGCCTTTTTATAAGCATTGTTGTGATGTGGTTTCCTTCTTAGTGACGTCCGGCGTTAGGGGACGAGTTCTTTTGTATTTCCGGCTGCAGACTTCAACTGTTCACTTGTAGCTTACTAAGTCTCTTCCGAAACTCTTCTTTCACCAGTCTACTTTGTTCACCTAGAAACCGTAGTTGAGCTGGGCGACACAACCTCCTTCTCTTTCGACTCATAGGGTCTTGTGTTGGTGGTAGGGTGGTAGTCGTACCTCGCACCTTTGTATTAAACCCCCAGACCGATTCCCTGTCCTGTGAAGGGAAGTTAGTCAATCCCCTCCTACAGGCATTGTAAGCCTCGTCGTACGAGGGAGTAAGTCTGAGACTGTCCAGTACCTACCGAAGGTCGTCTTTTTTTTGGACGTTTGTATAGCGTTTCGGTTGTGTCCCTCCGATTTCTTCTTTCGTGTAAATCCACTACTCACGGATCGGTCAGAGGCCTGGGAATTAGGGTATCTTTTAGACACTCGCCTCGCTGTCAAGCTCTACGGTTCGTAGTCGAGTTTTGGAGTTTCTCAACTCTCCTAGAAGTCTCTATCTCACTGGTGTTAAAAGACTTCCGTGTCTGGACCCTTTGGTTGATGTTCTTCCCGGACTAGAGGCACGCAGGTTGTTCCCAAAGAGGTGGTTATGATTCTGTAACAACGTTTCCCCTAGGTCTTATGAATAAAGGGTCATTTCGTTTCAGTAAAAATAGAAGACCTAGAAACTATAAGAATGAGAGTGTAATATATTGGATGGTAATTTTAATTTCTGACAATTAATAACATTACCCATTGATTTGTATTAAATGACTCAGTACAATCATAGCCCGGCACAAATCAAAACATAACAGCATCGCAACCAATAAAACGTAACAAGAGGGCCGAGGCAAACATACAGAGCAGGGAGAGAGACAAAAGAGGACAGCAATCCAAGGAGACCACAAAAGATACAGATAACAAGTGGACACCGCGGAAACAAGAGGAGGGCGAACGGGCCGACACAGAGCAGAGCACTAATGGGAGGGACATAAATCAGAACAGACGAAGGACACAGTCCACAACCAGTAGAAAACACCCTGGCTCAAGTGGCCCCTTCACAAGACAAACAGATTGAAACTAAGAAGTAGGAACTTTATTCATAATAGTCATAATAGACCGTCAACCAGGACGAACGAACGTTGGGCATTGTCTTGGTTGTTGTTCTACCGGTCGTCTAGGTAACTCGTCCTTCATACTAAAAAGAAGAACCGATGAGAGACTAGCTACCTCCCTCGCAAGGCGCATCAAGTCGTCGCTCCTCCGACGAGGACCGTCTCTCGGCAGCGGTCTACCGATGCTCTCTTGGTCGACCATTTAAGAATGGACGACCGAAAACTTAAAGGAGAGCACACACTAGGCGTCCGATCGGGAGTAGTGGTTAAGGCGTTGGACCTTTGTATGCGAGCCACCAGACAGACCTCAGTTGGGACGAAGAGGACAGGTCCTCGCAAAAGCCTTGAGCAGACCGAAAGCTGGCAGTGCTCGGCGGTTTTCCGAGGATCTCTCCTCACGTTCTAGAGTCCGATCGTTCGAGGCTCGGGTAGCTATCGTTCTGAGGCAGCCGCGACAAGCGCGCGGGTCAATGACGTTGAGAGATTCCGGCTAGTCCTGCTTCAAGATCTGGGGCAGTCGGATACTCATACTATACGACAGCGGCCTCAAGACCGGCGATAAGTCTGTTACGAACTGCCTCAAGAGCCTGGTACGTAGACGAGATTCAAGAGTCGGGGCTCGAAGAACGGATGGCTTGTCGTGTGGTTACTCACGTTCCTGTGGTCAAAGATCCTGGCGGCGTAAGATAGCTCTTAGCGAGACTTTGGGTATCTGACGATGAAGGCGAACTTATTCGGCGGTGAGCTAGCAGCTCCTCGTGGCTAATAGCCGAGGTGCGAGAGTCCTGTCAGAGCTCTGGTGCGAAGAGAGTTGGCGTGCTGATGGCTATTACGGTAGAGTGATACTTTTTCCTCAGAGGTTGGAGTTCCGTAGTTTGGTTGTGTGTTCTAGTGAGCTGATTGAGCGTGCAAGTTAAGACGATAGAGAGCCGGTAGGTCGTTTGTCCAGACGTCGAGGACACGGGAGGCCCGCGAGGAGAATTTGCCTCAGGGTTGAGTTTGCAGGGAGAATGGGAGGAGATCGGGATGAGTTGGAGTGGTCAGGGACGGAGATCGTGAAGGGATAGGAGATAGATGGGAAGCGGTACTCAGAAGAGATAGGGAAGAGATCAGGAAGGGATCAGGGAGAGAGATCAAGAGGATCAGGGAAGGTTCAGAGAAGAAATCAGGAAGAATCAGGGAAGGCTAAGGGTAGAGCTAAGGGAGAGATCAGGGATGAGTAAGGTAGAGTTCAGGGAAGAGCTAACGGGGAGAGGTCAAAGGAGAGTTCAGCGCGAGGCTCCGGAGGCGGAGCCTACGGCGGTTCAGAGGCAGTTCAAGGGAGAGTTCAAGGGGAGATTCAGCGACACCTCGCCGGCGAGAGCTAGGGCCGCGCGCGCCTCAGGCGGCGCCGCAGGAAGATAGCACTGGATGAGTCGCGGCATGAGTCTGGGGTGAAGGTTCAGCGGATCGCTCTGGAGCCTCCAAGCCGGACCCCCCCGGCCGCGCTTTGCCCCCGCGACACGGCCGAACCTCCGGGGCGGCTGTGAGAGAGCGCCCGCCGCGTGCGCTCGCGACCCCGCCCGCACGGCCCCAGCGGCTTCGGGCACAAAGGCCCGCCCCCACGGCACATCGACCAGGCGACCCAGGACGGTCGCGCGTCAAGGCAACCGCCCCCGGGCACCGTCGCGGCGCCGCCAGGACGTTCGAGACCAGNGGCTGCAACGGATCTGATACAGACTGATCCAGATTTGAACACTTCTATGACGTCACAGAAGTGGCGCTACATTGGGCCAGCTCCACCAATCAGGAGGAGACAGCCACGGACATTGCCGTTGGAAAGCGCTGGAGACGCTGTAGTACATATGCCAGGCCTGTAGATGGTGCTGTTCTCACAGAATCAGCCCATGCAAAGACAGTGTTAAATTGAGCGAAATGAGGAATGGCTAAAATGCATGATCTGTTTGGTATTTTGAAAAATAAAAAGTATAAATGTGCCTTATATAGGTATGGTCCTACACTATATTATTCAAATACTGTATAGCATGATAGGTCCACTTTAAAGAAAGATGTAGAACAATTTATGTACAGTATCAGAAAATTGTTCAGCCCTACATCATCTATTTTAGTTATTTGACATTACATTACAGCTATTTGATTTATTTTCTCTTTTGGATCACAATCAGCCCTGTGGACTTTAACGTCTGGTCCCGCTCAATAGCCAACTCTCCACCTGCAGAGATTTTCCTGGCCACTGCCCTTTTGCACTGTAGTGTAAACATTTACACATTCGTACTGGCAGCACTGACAAGTCTTGCCTTTTTGACAGCTGTGGATTAATGACACAGAGTAAACAATGTGAATATAGACCTAACGTCTGTGTGTTTTAATTTCCTCTGAATTATTGACTTTACCTTGTGATTAAATCAGATACAGTCACTTTAGTTGCAACTGACTTTCATTATCAATGCATCTGCTCCTTACATGTATCATTCATTGATAAATCACTTGGTCTGTTAAATGTCAAAGAGTTATGGAAAAGCCTCCCATCAAGACCACAGTGAGATCTTGAAACGACTTATTTTGTCTGACCAAAAGTCCAAAACCCAAAGTATGCAGTTTACATTCTAATATCCCAAGAAAAGCAGCAATTTCTCAAATTTGAGAAGCTGGAAACAGAAATACGTTTGGAACTTTAGCTTATCATTCCAGAAGTTACTACAGTCAGTTACTATGAACACATAGCATAGGCAGGGACACAATTACATTTTATAGACAGCTTTGTGGGACCTAAAGTAACTATATTGAGCCATATGAAACAGTAGATTACATTTTATTTTGGAGTCTATATAACGTCTAATGAGTAGCACAAAGATGCACTGTACTATTGTAGGAATAAAAAAGGTTTCAATGTTATTTTAAGCACTTTTTGAAAACATCCAGATGCAATGTAAAGACAGTGTGAAAGTAAATCCAATTTGCATTCAGTTATTGTTTGAAGTGTAGAGTACGAGAAGAGTAAGTCAGACATGGAAGTAGGCAGGTAGGTATTAACTCTTTTGAACGTACCCCAGTAATAACTTTACAGTGGTAATTCCTCTTTCTTCTCCGTTCATTGTTTCTCCCTTGACTCTCCAGCTCTGGTGCCCCAGTCAAAGAGACAGCATGCTCGGCGAAGCGGTCCTCTCTTTTGGTTACCTCCATGCTGCTGATCGCGCAAACTGCAGTGTACATGGCGGGCAGAGCTTCACCCAGGAGGTAATGCTGCTGCTTTGTGGGATATGACCCCTCTCTCCTGAAGTGGAGTACGAGCACCGCCTTGTTTCTTGACGTCTGCCAAGTTTACAAAGCAGCATGTGATTGATCTTAAGAGAGGGTTGGTTCTGATTAAAGAAAGCAGGGCTGACCACAGCAGACGGCTGTTTTGGCTCAAGTGTCATTTTCCAGCGAGGTCTGTTCACTGGTAAAGCTGATAAATACATTTGAAGCCTTTTTATATTTGCTGTCCACCATGTCAATAAGTTTCTCTTTTTGTAGTGTATTGGTCTTTTGTAGAGGTTTTTCATTGCCAGCTAAAATCTTGCCTAGGGCAGCAAATTGGTCAGAACCGGTCCTGGTGTCATCCCCACAGCAGCCCCCATTTGAAACATGTCTCCACGGCTATGCTGATGCCTGGCAGCTTCTAGAAAAAAACTGTTATAAATGCAAAAACATAGATAAACTCATTAAAGATATATAGGTTTATACGCTACTCAAATTTCACGTCAAATTTCTTAGCAGTGGCTTGAGTCAAACAGCGATTGAGGAACTCCTTTAAAAACGTCCTGTGAAATGAATGACCGCTGCTGCTGCCATCTTGTGGCAGAAACGGAGCGTTGCGCTGCCATTACAGTTTGACAGTTTGTCAAGAAAATACGAATAAAACCCAATCTGAGATAGCTCTGATGTTTACATTTTAACTGTTGGAATTTACAGAATTAACCATATAAGTCTTCAACAGAGAATGTTCACTGTAATAAGCGTTTGGGCTGGTTTCACAGTGACAGTTATAACAAATGCTAGGGCTAAAGTTGAAGCCAGTTTAGCTCAACAAGAGTGGTATCTATCTTCTTATCAAACTCTGTGACAAAAGGGTTAAAAGGTTTTCTCCTAAGTGCCTGTCCATTTTTTAAATAAGTCTTAGTATAAAACAGTTATAAAACATGACCACTCACAGGCGAGCACATCCCTGATGCTGGGGAACAGAAACTCTGCTTGCCACCTTTTCTTTTGTTGGTCTGACCAACTTTCCCCAGAACCAAAAACATTTAGGAAGTGTAACTACCAATAACATTCCAAACCATCTCTTATTGTATTGAATATCGTGCTTTTTACTTCACTACATTTAATGGTAGCTGTGGTGGCTCCTTACTATTTTGCACTAGTCATACTCTGAAGAATAAGATTAATACAAAATATTAGGTATGAACACATTATCACTAATAATTCAGAACTATTCATGTGATTCTGTAACTGGTCATCTTTCGTCTAGCACCACTTTTTTGATGTTACTTTTGTGATTTTGCTATGATTTTTGAGTAGGCCTAATGGAACTTCACTTGTAATAGAGCATTTAAGTATTGTATCTGAATACTTATATTTTGTATGTATCCATTCAATCATCTGCATCAATCAGAAAAAATACATTATTGTAAAAGATAGCCTACCGGTTAATTCACACATTTAAAATCTGTTCATTTGGTATAAAGTAGTATAAAAGCCTCCACAAGATGGTGCTGCAACACCTTTAAAGTAACACTAGAGTTCCTTCCCTGTAGTAGAAATAATTTTCTAACACTTCTCCTGATTCCTGACAGCTTTAACACAGACATATTTCAGCTCTGTGAGGTCCAGGTCCCCTTTGGATGCAGTTGTGTCATGTAGTGTGATAATGGAGATCACATGTGGCTGGAGCTCCTGACCTCTGACCTCTGCTCTGCACTCATAAACAGCCGAGGGTGTGTGTGAGTGTTTTTGTGTGTATGTATACCATACTGTCTCTGTTTGTGTGCGTGCCTGAATATGAAAATAAACCTGGTTTCGTGTTTCAATCATCAAGGATTTGTGCATGTCTGTGCGTGTGTTTTCTTGTCTGGTTGTGGATGCAGTGACTGCGGGACACAGTGCTTGTGTATGTGTGTGTATTTGTGTGTGTGTGTCCTGCTCAGTGAACTGCATATCTCTCAGCAGAGTGTCTCCCTACAGCTGTTCCCAACCCTGCTGGACTTCACAATATGACCTTTATTGGTGACCTTACACATGTAGCACTTACTGTCCTCCTGACTTCTTAAAGTCTTCTTGGGAAACACGAGTGTGTCACTAATCCATGGCCTGGAAACATTGCCAAATGCACCAAAAGCATGAGAGCTTCAAAATCATAAATATTTCAGACCTACAGAAGTTAACATTAAAATGTTGTCAAAAATCTTGACACAGAATAAAAAATCTATTTTCAGGTTTTCAGGTTTTTTAGTTTCCAAGTCAAATCAACATACAGCTGTATTTGCCTTGACCTCTGGATGCCCCTCCCCATTTTCCCCTTAAGGAACCGTGTCATACACATACATCAAATTCTGCATCTGCTTGTTCCACCACTCCATGTAAGGTAGTACATCATGCTCCCATGCATATCCTATAATAATGCAATTTTAATGGTTGCATTTCTGCATTAAACAATGTGTAAAGGCTTGCAACATGTGTGTGTAAGGAGACATTTTGTCCTTGCATAAAGTACATTTTTGGCCTTAAATGTAGTTTAAGCTATGGCATTGAACAATTTTAAGCTAAACATTATGTTTGTTCTTGGAGACAATTGTATTGATTATATGTTGGAACATTTTAAAACAATAAAGGTTCACAGGTTTGTGCTGTATCATTTTTTGTAATGTATCTGCACACAATAATATTATATAATAAATCAAGAAAAAATAAGAAATGTGTCAGAGAGGTCAAGAGGACACACATTTATATAACTGAGCTCCCCTGTACTAAGGATTCAAAACAATAAATAAAACAATAAAAGAAAGGGATCAAAAGAAGAACATAATTTAGGAAGAATACAACGAGAGATGAATAACAATGTTGAACATTTCTTATATATCTCGGCAACAAGTCACAGCAACAAGTGATGCAGCTTTTTTTAAAAGCAGTTTTATAGTCTTCTGTCTGAGACAAGTAATGTAAAATCAACTAGGCATTGCTGTTGGAACAATTCTCATCTTCAACACATGAAGTGAAGTACAGACTAAGCCAGGCTTTATGAATAACACATTGAGGAAGGGCAGCGGTATGCTTAAAGAATTCATCAGCTGACAGCTATAGGCACATCTTCCCCATGAGATTTACTGTAGGCGCTTGCACATTTCCCATGCATTATTCATTCATCATGACACAATCCTCAGCACAGAACATTGAAAGCTTCTGTCTTTCTCAGACATATCCGTCACCTGTCAACCAGGGTTTAGCTGAAAGTCTTTGCTCTGTCTGCTGTTGTTTTTGTTCAGAAATAATGAGCACCTTTCAAAAATGTTGATATGCACCCACAAATGGAACATAAACTAGCTCTGCCCACCTACTGACTTTGGATATATACAGTATATAAATTAATTGTTTTCACTGCTTTTGACACTTAGTGAGCTCTTGATATATCTATTCACAGCATGTACATGTGCAAAGTTGTTTTAGATCTGTTATATTTAAGATAATCACTTCTCTGACCTGTATGTTTTATAAATATATTTCACACAGATTCTGTTCTGTATAATGGGAAACAGAGTCCCAAAAAAGCTTTTTCACGCCTACATCAGTCTGTTCAAGAACATGACGGGGGAGTGAAATCTGGTGCGGTTTACAGCTTCACAATAAAACTTTTTTTCTGCTAACGATGCCGTGAATATGCTGAGGTGGCATTTGACAGGCTGTGGATGTTGCCAAAGTTGGTATTTTTATAGCTGTGAGAATTCACCAGATGTCCTCTAAAACTCTGCTTACTTGCTATTCTGTAGTTATATTTCTGTTATTATTATTCAGAATTTGTATTATTATTATTATTATTATTATTATTATTATTATTATTATCATCCTCATTAATGTAGTGCCATCTTTCTCCGCTTAACCTCGTTATTCCATCCTGTTTGTTTTATGTCTATTTTACCTTGTTCTAGACTAAATAATTTACAGTTCAATTGCTGCGTTTCATGTATAAACACTGGTATAAACAAATAAAGTATATTATTATTGCTATTAATATTCATAATTGTATAACTATTATCTGTTTTTTGTGTTCCATATACTGTAGTGTATATTTTTCATATAGTAAGTATATTACATATACACTGCTTTATAACCAATTAAAATAAAACTCTTGTCCATTGGGGAAAATAAGTATATTTATTTATTTATCTTTCTATTTCAGGACAAGCACCCCGGTGCAGAGGGAACAGCAGGACACCTCTTCCCTACAGTGCAATGACACATTTCTCCACACATGGATGTGTCTGCGGAGGAGTTCTGGTCACCGCTGCAGCTGCAAACATTTTCAGGATTAAATTCAATCATGCGGTCTGCCAACCCTCATCAGGGGTAGCATGTAACCTTTGTTTTTTTTACACCTTGCAGTCATACTCAGTGTTATGTTTCTTTGTACTGCTCCTTCAGTTTTCTTTCTTGTGAACCTGCATCTGGGTTAAGGGCAACTTGTTCCATGTCATCAGCTTTTGTGAAAGCAGCAGTGGCCTTCAGGTCACATGAGGATTTAACTGCCAGGAACAAGGAACAAGCTTGACTGTGCGGCCACAGCGTTACTTATTGCTGAAATAAAGTGGTGTGACCTCCACACATTTGGTGATGGTTTTCAAAAAAGCAACGTGTTGAACTTGTTTGCCATGAGGGGGAAACAGGACAGAGGTGCAATCAATTGAAGAAAGCAATCAAATGTGAGTCACTCGTACAGTCCCTCATGACTGGTGCATGTGGGACTTTAAAGAACAAGCTGGACAGACTGTCAGAGCAGTAAAATAAATCCGACCTCTTTAAAAATGTAAATGCCAGATTTGAGCAGATATTACAGAGATACTCATCAGGTTCTACTTTAGTTAGTTTTTCATGTGTTTTTTAACTTAACAGACAACACATCCTTGTTTGGTTTTTTCTACACCACCCAGTAGGTTTAATGCAACACTTCGTCTTACTCAATTTAATTAATAATATTAATATTGGGAGGGATGAAACCCTCTTTAATGGTCACACATGCAGAGCACACAGCACACAGTGACATGTGTTCTCTGCATTTAACCCATCCTA